CAAGTGATAGATTTTCATATCCAACAGCTAAATCTATACCATCTACAAGTGGAATATTTGGAATAAAAAGACCTGTAGCAACAATAACAATTCTGAAAAAAACAAATTATTGTAATTCAGTTTTTGAAATATTTATATAAATGATAAACTAACCCGCAAGTATATCGATTGTCATGTTGATCATTCATTCGAAAACGTGCTATTGATGAAAATGAACAATCTTTTGAATCGCATGTTGTTGTTTGTTCAGATATTGGTTGTAAATTTTTTATTGTTGTATTAAATTGAATATGAAGATTATAATAACGATAAAAATCATTTAAATAATCAACCATAAGATCTGCCGATGGAAAAAGTTGTTTCGAACGATGAGTAAATCGCAAATGATCATCATCAGACAATAAAGAATTCCAATCATGTCTTAAATTAAATTTTCGATTTTTTTCTCCTGTATTACGTTTATTAATGCTAATCAATCGACGATGTCGAGGATAATCAATAAAGAATGAACCTGCGATAAGTAATTTATAGAATATCTTCAACAATTTTATTCACTAGTTACCTGCTTGAGAGGCTTTTTCATAAATAATATAATCTCGTTTAACTTTTTGAAGAAAATAAGCTAATTGTAAACCAGCTGGACCAGCTCCAATTATACAATATTCATGAAATTGTGAGCGATCAAAACCAAGAATAAGATCGATTATGAAAAGAATCAGAAGAAGGAAAAGTTTCATTTCTGACTTTACTTTTTTTCTTTCAATTTATCATTTACTATTAAAAAGTTAATTGAATGTATTGAGAATAAAAACCAGATGGTCGAAGCACTTAACATTAAGAAGAATGACTCATCGTCATAAACCAATAACCTACCAAAAAAAGTAATGAAATATCTCCCGTATATTTTTATGAAATAAGCTAATTTTTTCTGAAGATAGAGGGAAAACTGTAAGTTTTTATTCATAAATTATCAGCCTATAACATCGTTATTAATGTCTGAAGAACTTTATAGCGATCAGTCGAGGTTTTTTTACGGTGCGAAGCACTGAATAGTAATTGTTCTCAATTGTTTTTGACTTCCTAGACACCTCCTCAAATCACCATTTTATGACGCGCTGATCTAAAGATCAGAGAGTCGTACAATTTTCGTTCGAACGTTGTTACAAAAATTCCGGATGTGGGTGTGAACTTGATTAAAGGGAAGATCCACACCAACACCCAATCGCGCCTATTCTTTCTGCATGTGTGTTTATAAAAGATGATTTGTAGAGAAAGAGAACCTTTTAAAACTTTCGAAAAATTCATTATTCTTACTTTCAATATTAGAAAATATTTCGCATTGTTGTATTATGGATGGCTCGCTGTAGTCAAGGCATTGAATTCAGAGCAATCGTATAATAAACTAACTTTAAAAAATAGAATTAGAAGAGTAAGTGAATTGATTGAATATAAAGTCTTTGTATTTATGTCATAGAAGCACATGTCTATTAAATCAAATCTTAATATGATATGAGAATTATAAAAGAATTCGTCAGTAGCACTCATGTCAGATTTCTTTTAAGTAGCTCAATGTATGTTCAAAAATGCTCACAGAATAATGTACGAATTGTTGGATTATCTATATCCTTTTCACAAGCTATATAGAATGTAAACGTATGAAGTCGTGACATATGACGAAGAATTTCATTATCAATACGAGCACCAGAGATAAATGTGAGTACATCCAAAATATGAATATATAAAGTTAATTTTTCAAGGTATGACATTCGACGAAGAAGAGGTAGAACTTGTTTACGATATGCTCGGGTACCATTATAATATATTAATGAGAAACATGTTAAATTAGGTAGATCATCTTACACAATAGAAAGAAAAGGTTTAGAAATTCATCTTTATCAGTTAAAGTCAGAAATAAATTTAAATAGAACACTATTCAATAGATGTTATTCATTTTCCAAATTATATTCTTAAAGGATTCTCCAATTCTATCAAATACGTGTTCTCTAGTAATAATAATGATTATTTTATATCTATTAAGTGCAGACGCAAGAGAACTAGTAAATGATTCAACAGATCAAATATTGTATGAGAATGAATCGTCTTAACATGTTTTAAAGCATTCAATAAGATTTATTATAGAGATATTATAAGAAAAATAATTTGTAAAGAAATTAAACAACTCTTTTAAATAACTATACGAATTTCAATAGTAAAACTCAATGCAACTTTAAAAAAATCTCCATTGGTAAAAATGTGTTTTTTTTTGGACTTAGTAAGTGTCGAAGAGGAAAAAGTCATTTGTGGTAAATTATATAAGGATAAAGACAGTAATTGTTGATAGATGACGGCACAACACACAAATGCTTTAAATTTTCAAAGAAAGTAAACATAATTGCATAAGCATTTTCAGTATACTCTTCTGATATTATTGACATATTGTTTTCATTACTGATTAAAATAAGATCCATAATTTGTTTACCAATATGTTCAAAGAAAGAATCGTCTAAACGAAATCTATATCATTTAATCTGAACATCGAAATATTTTTCTATGCTAATCTTTTCAAAGATCAGTACACATTAATATCTTACCCATGAAATAACGTGAAAAGACTGCTTTGTTGAAATTGAAAAGTTGAAGTTCAGTAAGATTGGGATAGCTACCAACACGCAGAATATATTCCAAAGAATCGGATTCAACGATGAGAGATTTAAGGGTGTGGTGTGTAATTTTTCTCTGCAGCAGTAACCACACTCATCCGCACTCACACCATTTTGAACTAAACCTCGTCAAATAATGAACAATAATTATAATAAGAAAAAAATAATGTCAAAACCGACGGATATCGAAAGAGATATCCTCAAAATACCGAGAGACCCATTTTTCCTGGGACACCCGATATTTTTCTCAAATTCACCTTCTTGTTATCGTGTTTCAATCATCCACTCTATCGAATCCGTCGTGGACAGGCACCAAAGAACCTTATTCGACCAAATCAAAATGCATAACTGTAGATTAGATATCCGCAAGTGTCAAGTTGCTTCCAGTAGTTTATTCGTTACTATTACTAGATTCCCAGTGGATCTATAGACTTTAGCTAGATTTCGGTGCATTCCGATGGGTTTTCGTGGTCCACAAAGATTGTCATCAATATTAGAAAACGATCATAATGCAAGAACAAACATGTATCTTTTTTCGGGATAAAAACTTGCGATCATTTAATGTCAAATTTTATTTTTTTTTTGATAAAGCATTAGACGATGGAAAAATAAGATACAAAACACTGCTATTCAACCTACCCCATATGATGTTTTATCAAAAATGTGCTAAATAAAACTTTAAAGAACAGACTATCAAAGTATTAAAGAAAACATGTAAATCGTTTGAACGCCTCAACCATAATCCACATTCACTTTTCGATCAAACTTTTGAAACATTTTGTCAAATCATTGGGATCGGAACCGAAAAAGCTTTATGCCGCACTTCTCTACTCGAGTCTCTGTGCGAATATCGAATAACTACAGAAGAACTGTGACATGTGCTTATTTACTCAAAAAGCTCTACGAAAAACGAGAAGGTTGCAACTCGTCACGTGACGAGTTGAATTTTTCAAAAAAAACAGGGCTTTCGTAACGCTAAAAATAGGGATATACGAGAAAACAGGGATATCGTAACAAAATTTACAGGGCAATCGTAGCTGTTATTTACAGGGAGTTCGTAACAGTTGCAGAGTTTTCGCAACGAGCCAACAGGGATTTCGTATCAAAAATTAGGGGTATCGTAACGAAGTCACATATAAAACCACCGGTTACGATCACCCTGTAAAATTCGTTACGATAGCTCTGATTTTTTGTTACGAAAGCCCTGATTCTGTCGTTACGAAACCTCTGTTACGGGCTTTCGTACTGTCAATTCGTTACGAAAGCCAGACAAGAAAAATCGTGACGAGTTACAACTTTCCCCGAAAAACATCGATGTTCAATCTATCTTATTGCATACAATGTGGTTGATTTTCTCTATGTTTACTCTTCATTATAGATTTTGACCCTTAGTGTCGGATGTAACATAGATGCTAGTATATACAATTTGATTATGTGTTGTCTTCATACGTAGGATATCTTAGGTCAGGATTCGCTCCAGAAAACTTTCCAAGTAGAACTCGACGAGCTCTATTCAACCACATAATTCATTTTTCTCTAGCTCCCACCTCAAACCGCGAAAATCCCTAAATATCATCAAAAAAGCGTGTAAAATGCAGACAATTCTGGATAAACTTGTCGCGATTCGCCCAGGAATGTTCCCCAGCTTAATCGATGAGTTTTCAGGTAGATCTTGACGAGCTCTATCGAATGCATATCTGTGGTGCCCCATTCCATACTCCTCTTGCCCTCAAAGCTTTCAATCCGCACCAGAAACCAGGTTTTTCAAAATAATACTTGTCGCGATTCGCTCAGACGCACTTTCCAGCGAAATCATTCAACTTTCCAAGTAGATCTCGACGAGCTCTATCTAATGGACACCTGTGGAGCTCAATTTGATAAATTCTTCCCTTCAGAAACAGTCAATCACAGGTTCGATCTGTAGATTTCTCCTAAGACCTAAAGGGACTCCCCCAGGAGTACTTTCCAAGTCCAACATATAACTTCCCGACTGGATCTAAACGAGGTCTATCGAATGGACATCATTTGAGCTTGATTCGATGTTCTCCTTCCCAGAGAAACGTCTAATTCAGGGCTCAATTAATCAGTTTTTAAATAAAACTCGAACCGATTCGTCCAGAAGTGCTTTCCAACTGAGATATATGGCTTTCCAGATAGATCTCAACGAGATCTATCGAATGGACACCCTCAGAACTTGATTCAATGCTCCTCGTCCCAGAAAAATGTTTAATCCAGGATCCAATTTTCCAGTTTTTAATAAAAGTCGTAAGGATTCACTGAGAAATACATTCCAACTGGGACATATGACCTTCTAAACAGATCTAAATGAGATGTATCGAATGGCCAGCTTTTCAGTACAATCAGATGCTCTTGAGGAAATGAAATCCTAGGTTATTCCGTAAAACTTGTCAGGATTCGCCTAGCAGGACTTGCTAACGTTCTCGTAAACTTCTAAATTAGAGCTCAACGTGCTCTATCGATTGGACAGTTTCCGAGCTCAATTTGATGCCTCCGTCTTTTGAAAACCTGTTACTTCCTGTGAGAAATTAGCTTTTTCGTGGCAGAACCTGTCACGATTCACTCCATCCTTGGTCCAAACTACACGATTGATGGTTCGAGCGAGAACTCAAAGAATTCAATCGAATGCATACTCGGATGAATGTCCTATGGGTTGATGGCGTACGTAGTTGCCTCCCGACCATATGTTTTATGCCTCGCAAAATATACAATCAATAGAATGAATACATGCGACCACTCAACAGCTGTAATAGAATGGACCGAAGGGTTTTAATTCGAGGAGAACTAAAACAAATCGGTAGCTAAAGAGAACTATGAAACGAGAGGGGAAAGAATTTATCGTGCACGATATCAAGAGAAGGAAAAGAAAATTAATTTTTCATGTGGGATAAGACAATGAGAAGAAAAATAATTCACCGCGCAGCATCTTATTTCGAAACGAAGAAAAAGTTTCATTGGATGATTTCTGTAACCGAATTCAATGCTTATTTATTTTTTCTCTGCATGAGTTAGGAGGAAACAAAAGAAACTGTGTGAATCTGGAAGCATCCGCACCGATT